TGAGCTCTCACAAATGCAAACTTAAGAGAGTGAAAGTTTTGTGATTAAAAATGTACTCCTGGGGAAAGATGTCCCTGTGAGCTAGAACGTCACAGTTCACTCCTCAATACGAAGAGGTTTTCATGTTGGATGAATAGAGTACTTGGTTTGGGGCTACTTCAGACCATACCAGTACATGTGATCTCACTGTAATAAGTTTGACACCTTCAAATAGTTGAGTTCATGAAGTTAGACATCCTGTTTAATTTTGTACTTTATGTGAGCATGGAGTAGGTTCCTCTTTTATGAGCTTCACAGCAGCAGCTAAGTGTGAGCTGTGGGGAGGGCAGTAGCCTCCGCTGTGCCTCACAGGCCTCTGTTACATAATAATGCAGACTGAACTCAGGTCATTTTGGAATTATGATTAATACTATTTTAATTTAAAAGCTAGCTTCCCTTCCCATTTTGTATTTTGGGGAGAAAATACCTAGGAACCTCAGCCTCCGTAGAACTAAAAATACCAAAGATTTTCAAAAAGTTCATATTGTATATTTCAAAAACAACTTATTGATATCACATACCAAAATAAATATATTTTTCTTTTAGGGACGATATCACCCATTTGCCTGAGCACCAGAGTCCTACATTCAATTTCTACCTAGAATATTAAATTCAGTCTTGAACCTGAACAGGATTAAGTTTCCGTGCCTTAGTTTCTCCACTTATAAAGAGCTTCCTATAAAAGTTTTTAAACACTAACCAGAATTTTACCTTACATATACATTCTCTTTGCTTATAAAAATGATCAGGTCTTAAATTTGGTTCTTACGCTCTAGTCAGTCTGACTGTAACTGAAAACATAGTTTTCCTTTTAAAATATATTACTGTAATCATATTTTCCTATTTTGTTATTTGTAGGGAAAACTGGAGAAAGTTTATGTTGTCTAGTGTGACTTTGCAACATGACTTTCTCAGGAAAAAGATCTCTTTCAATGGCAATACTTCCACAAATAATTCAAGATGGGTTAGAAGCCCATCTCATTAGTTTAGCGCTATATTCTTGTATGTGACTTACTGTTTAAAGAAGCTTATCAAACTTCTACCAAGAATAAAAAGTTTTCAGTAATAATGGCGGAGCTTTCATTTGGGAATGATAATTAACATATTTGTTTTATTATTTGGCTCCTTTGGTAACACAGCCACATACTACTGTTTAGTCCATAGGAATCATATCTGTGCACTGTTTTCTTGCTTTCTTACAAGTCTGCTGATAACTTCTTGACTCACGTAGATGCACTGAAGGTCCGTCACTTTTCCTGGATCTCAGTCCGCCATCACTGGGCTGGTCCTGCGGGGGTATGCCAGTCTCTCTGGGCAAGGGTTTGCCCTAGGGTCCCTCCAGGTGTATGCTTTCCCCTTTTAGAAGATATTTTTGTAATTTTAGATGTTATTAATTTTGAGGACAGGATCTGCAAGTTGTTTTATTTACCAGCATAAAGCTTATTTTTCTGGCTGAAGATCTGAGACTCTGATGTTACTCCATAGGAAGATGAACAGTATTTTTCAGAGATGGCTTCTTCATTTATAAAGAAATGAACTTATTGGTGATATAGCAAAACTGGCTGCTATAATGCTTTTTCTTTTGTATTTGTTTACATATTAAATTCTTTCAAAGTAAAAAACCAAAAGAGACTTCAAAATAATTTATCTTTTTTCACCAGTTAGTACAAATTATGATATATATAATTTTTATTAATATATTTGTATTTTGCCTCTTGTGTTCTTTTTAAAATTGTTTTTCTTCACGTGGGAGCAATGTTTTACTGTGGTCTTTATTATATCTTCCTCATATTTACAATTTTATTGACCTCTTACAATCTTTTTTTCTTCATCTTGATTTTCAGTTAAATTCCTGTTGTAATTTGTAGTGGCCACTTCCTTTCTTCATACTTAGAGTACATCTTACTTTCCTTCTGCTTTTAGTGATTTGGTCATAGTCTCATGTTTTTCACTTACATAACTCACTCTATCAATTATATCCTGGGGTAATTTCCTGAACAAAAGTATTGGAGGTAAATTTCAGATTCCTTTTATTTTTTGAGAACATGTTTATTTCAGACTTGGTTGTTGGCTCAATGTAGAATTCTAAATAGAAAGTATCTCCTCAAAACTCTAAACGTCTTGTTGTTCGTCAGTATCTGGTGTTGCTCACGACCAACCTGACTTGACCATTTGTTTGTCCTTGTCACAGAATTTTTTTTTCTGTGAAAACCTTTTGAATCTTTATATAATAGTGTTCTGAAAAACCACAGCGTTTCTCAAGGTTGATCTTTTCTCATTCCTCTTACTTAGCACCTGGGTAGTTTCCTTTAATTATATTATTTCTAGAAATATTTCTTCTTTTTTTTTGCATTTTGTTTTGGATTTTTTGTTTGCTCTCTAAAGCAATAGCTCTTTTAAAATTGTTTTAAAATATTATAATACATATACATTTTTATGGAGTTACAGTGTTATTGTGGTTCATGTATATATTGTATATTGATGAACTCAGATACTTAGATGGCCCATCGTCTCAAGCATTTATCATTTATTTTTGATGGGAACATTGGAAGTTCTTTCTTCAGCTGTTTTGTACTATGTGATAAAATACTGTTAATTTAATCACTTTCTATACACTAGAGCATCACTACTACTTTACCTGTCTGGTTGTGACTGTACCCATTCACCCGTCATTCCCATCTCTTTGTCCTCCTCACCTTCCCAGTCTCTGCTAACTATGATTTTGCTTCCTATTGCTGTGAGTTCAGCTTTTTAAAAAATATACTCTAGATATGAGTGAAATCATGTGGTATTTGCTTTTCTGTGATTGCCTTATTTCACTCAACATGATCTCAAGTTCATATTACTGCAAATGACAAGATTTCATCTTTTTTAAAAAAGACTGATATTATACTGTATATTATTTACTGCATATCCTTATATTTTCATCCATCGATGTACACAGTATAAGGGCTTTTATATACAGTGTTAAAATAAATATGCAAGTACAGGTGTCTTTTTGATATATTGATTGCATTTCCCTTGAATAAATGGGTACCTGGGTCATATGCTAGTTTTATTTTTAGCTTTTTAAGTAATCTCTGTACTGTTTTTCCATTCTGTACATTGTCTCTTTGCTGTCTTTATTTCTATTGCTGTACAGTAGCAGCTTTTTAGTTTGATATCTTTTTTTGTTGCTGTCTATGCATCTAGAGTCTTGTGTGAAAGTGAATTTATTGACTTATAACTCTAGATTAGTTTTTGTTTTTAAACTATTGATTTATTGTTAATTATCTGGATGCTGTTGGGTGAAGCCATCTGTGTGGGCCCTGAGGTCCTCCATTTTCCACCTGGGTGTGGCCAGAGCACAAAGGCCTGGCAGCCTTTACCAGGCAGTTTTTAGGGCTGTGTGTGCCATGAAAAGCCTTAAGGTATTAGATGTCTTTCACCACAGAAAGCATAAGCTTTTTATCACTTTCTATAAAAATAGTAAGTACTCTGTAGTCAGTGTTCCTGTCCTGTAACACCGTCAGTTGTGTGTGCCAGCAACCACAAACAGCCCTTTGTGGCGCCTTGTGAAACCTGGGAACAAGAAGAACTAATGCAAAGAAAAGGAAATAATAAAGTTCTTTGTCTCTGACTCAGTAGTGTTATGTTGTTCACAGAATTCATGTAATATTAACAGATTAGCTTATCAGACTAGGATGAAATTCAGAACCTATGTAATTTTTGAGAAATGGAATGTTTTCTCTTACTTTTTCTAAGTGTACCAGGTATTATTATTATTTCTAAGTGTTTTGACTAAGGTTTTGACTCAAGTTTTGTTTGGAAATTCTTCTGATTAATTTTTAAAAATTATAAATAATGATTTTTTAAATCAAATTTTCCTTATATATATGTAGGGTGATTTATTTGATAGTCTCATCATTAAATAATAGGAAGGCCAAACATTGGGGTTAGTTTGGGGGGTAAAAGTTGGCTATATTATTTGTATAAAGAAGTTTAAATATGACCCTTATGTTTAGCTGCATTTCTTATCTCCAGTGTCTGTTGCTTAAGAATCTAATGTTTTTTTTAGTTTCTTTCTGTGCTGCATTTGCCTCTGAGATTGTAGCTTTATTCATCAAAACTATTTTACCAGCTGTGTTCCAAATATTTCTTGCAATTTTTTATGTAGTGATGACTTCTTGTTGTTGTTACCCATTTATTTCTTTACTTGCATTTTTAGGTAAAGGAAGAAATAAACTGAGAATAGTGAAGCATAAAGAAGCACTCTTAATGTTTTTTTTTATTGGTTGAGCAATAATTTGTTACTTTATCTTTGTCTTACTGTGTTTATATACTTTCAGTAATGCCAGTTTTCTACTTCTGCTCTAACCTTACATCTAAATATAAAGCACTGTCATCTGGAGAAATCAGCAAAATATCCAGTAAAAATGAGTTCAATATAGAAATAAATATTAACTTAGGGGAAGGTTTGTGGCATGTGGTTTGTCAACTCAGAGAAATTTTTGCTTACTTTTAGGTTTGAACGTACAGGCATTTTTCAGGTAAATGAAATGCATAAATGTGCATATAACTATTCACAACTTTAAACCTTACATCTTTGCTGTTCTGTAAAACAGAATTTCGGGTATTCTTTAAAATTGCTCTGTGTCTTCTAGTAATAATTATTGAAAAATTTAACTTACATGCATAGAAAATGGCGGGGCTTGTGCGTCATGCTATTATTATTAGAACGACTCAGCTTTGCTGTTCTCACAGTTATAAGTTATGTAAATGAGTTATTGGGGCTATGTTACAATAAAACTATGAATAGCAATATTGAGTTTTATATCATTTTATGTCATAATTCCTTTTAAAATGTTTTTATAACTAGTTTGCAGTCTGTACAAAATCCTTGCCCTAGAATTACTTGTTTTATGAATGGAATTCTTAATTGAATACTGATATTTTATGTTTTGCCCTATTATCCTTTTCAGGCAAGCTAATGAAGAATATCAAATACTGGCTAACTCCTGGCGCTATTCATCTGCTTTTTGTAACAAACTGTTTTTCAGTATGGTGGACTATGATGAGGGAACAGATGTTTTTCAGCAGGTAAAAAAAGTTGTATTTTATTTTGGGAATACATAATGGAGTAGGTTATGATCAATACATTTTTTGTCAGGTAAAATACAATACATTGAATATATTCATAAATATATAATGTAGTTAATACATTGTATAGTGTAAAATAATTTCAGTTCATGTTATCTAGCATTGTACAATTTTTGCCATTAGTGAATTCAGTAAATGCATTTTGACTTATGTATTGTAGAGGAAATATGTTTCTTCAGCATGTAGTGGCAGTTTACACACGTGAATTTTATTTTGCTATTTAATTATACATAGTTTAGGAAGTATTTGGTGTGCACATTTATATTTTACATATATTTCATTCCAAGTTTTATCTAACTTTTATTTCTCCAATGTGGCAGATATAGACAGTTTTACTTGCAGAATATTAAATAATTATTTTAAAATGTTTTTATGTGTTATGGCCTGAACTGTATCCCGCTAAATTCATATGTTAAAATCATAAAGCACAGTGTGACTGTATTTGGAGATAGGACCTTTAAGGAGGTTGTAAAGGTTACATTCCCTATATAGAAGTGCTGACGTCTCCTAAGAAGAAGAAGAAACACCAGGTGTGCATGTGCATGGAGCAATAAAATGACATTTGCAAACTAGAAAGAAACCAATTCTGCCAGCACCGTGATCTTGGGCTTCCAGTCGCTGGAAGTGTCAGAAAAGAAATTGTTGTATAAGCAACTTAGTCTTTTGTGGTAATCTGAGCAGATTAATATACTATCATTTACTGTGTTCTCTGTAGACTAAGTATTGGGTTTTGGCATAAGGGCGCTAGTTGTCATTGACGTTGTCGCCATCGTTTTGTCATCATCCTGACTACAATTTAGTTTGTAATCATGACACTATTGTGAGTGTTTCAGATGTATTTTTTTCGTTTAGCTTCACAGTGATCAAATGAGAGATTGTTATTGCCTCTCTTTCACAAATGAGGACATGAATGTGTGGGGAGACTATCTTTTATCCAGTTATAACAGTATGTGTAATGTACTACAAGATTTTAACTCAGTTGTTTCATTCTCCAGTCTTTTAACTCTTAATTATGCTGTTATCCTACAGTTAATTATTTTTAATATTTTTACACCTTGTCAGTCTCTTTCAAATGCAAAATTTATTATAATACTTAGCATTAATTGATTTAACTATCATGACATTTCATTTTTCTCATATCTGACATTCTTTGGCAGAATGCTGTACTAGATCATAGAAAAGCGTTTAGGTTTTACTGCTGGTAGTAAATGGGCAATCATTGAGTGCTTTTGCTAATTTAATTCCAGATTTATTCATCTTTGCCAATTTCTATATGAATAAAATAAATTTTCTTTGTTTACCTTTAGTAAACTTTTCCTATTTTACTTATTTCTTACCTCATAAGTTTATTTTAAATTAAACAAATGGGATGTCTATTTGTATTTATAGTATTTCTTTGTATTAATTCATTCAACAAATATCATTTAGTATTACCCTGTAGGAGAAATAAATTGGCAGGAAAAATGTACATACTTTTTCCTTATAAGCAGCTTGCAGAATAGGAAGCTGATAATAATATACTATTAAAGAAAAGTGTAAATAAATATATAATTTTAAATAAACTGATACAGGAAAACCGTAGTCCCATAAGAACCAAATACTTCATGTGATGTTTGGTTTCTATGGGCTCTCAGAAGAATAGGTCTTGGAGATTATCAGATGGAAAATTTACTTATTGTACAGTTGAATCCTTTCTTCCATATTGGCCAATAGTCATACATGTTTGACCTGGCTGCTAGAACCATGCTTTAACCTCAAATGTTTGTCCTGTCCAGGCCTGCAAAGTGAATGAAGACAATGTGTTGCGTTAGTTTAGTTTCATTTTGGTTTTTGTTATTATATATTTAGGATACTAAGTATATTAGCACTTCATTTATAGAAATGTACTCCCTCCTGTTTTTGTTTTTGTTTTTTTGTTTTTTGGTACCGGGGATTGAACTCAGGTACTTGTGCTTGCAAGGCAGGCCACTGAACCGCTGAGCTAAATCCCCGGCCCTTCCCTCCTGTTTTTATTAAAAACTCTCTTGGTCTGTTTTTAAAAATAAACATATTTAGTAAAAACACTCATCTTTCCTTTTGCTTCTCACAGCTGTAAGAATAAAATAGGCAGAACAGTGTGTATCTGACCCTTGATCTCATTGTTGGGAAACCATTTGTTTTGAATAAAATCTATAGCAAATTGGAGAGGTCTTGCCTGATCTCCATGGGAGATCAGCTTTAGCTCTATTTAAAAAATATAGGCCATGTGTAGCTAGATCAGTTTCTCTCAATAGACCCAGATATGAATTTTTATGTGAAATTTTCCAGTCTTTAAAATGTTGACAGAAAATTCAAATTTAAAATAAAACATATTTGAGGGGGAACCTAATCCTGCGTTTATGCTGTCCTGACTGTACGCTGCCCATTTATTTTATATATGTATATATTTTTCTGTGCATTAGACTTTATAAAAAATTCTTCATAGATATGAGAGTTGAAGTTTTTAAATAGTTTAGTTTTTAATTGAAGTTTCCTCAGGTTAATTTTGATTCAGCAGAATTCCTAATATAGCTCTGCTTTATTTTTTCTGAAACCTAGCCCCTAGCTTAACAATACGATTTTTCATTTTAAAATGCAGAAATGCATAGAAGTTATGGCAATTAGTGATTTTTATGAGGAATTATAATCTGCAAAAACGGAGAAGTATGTATTTTGCTCCACTTAAATAGTACTCACTTTTAGTGCTTATATTTTCCTCCCCACTGAGTCATATTCTGTTGGGATATTCTCACTGAACTGATATTTTAAAGCACAGTCAGCAATGGTGTGGTTTCTGAAGACAATATTAATAAAAAGGGTAGAAACTTATAATTTTTAGCTAGATGGATATGCTTTTGGGAAAGTAAATTCAATTATATATCTCAGAGATGACGAGGCCAAGAGTCTTATGATGGACCAGTTGGTTAATGAATATGGTGTGCTGCTGAAAAGAGCTTTGCATTAGAAAAATCCATTTTTTTTGTTGTGCCCTACTTTGTGTAGCCTTGGGAAATGTGCACATTTTAATTAAGAGGAAGTCTTTGAATTATCTAACTTTTAAAAACTCTACTGTTGTAGAATGTTAAGCTTTGGTAGAATTCCCAATTGCCAGATGAGGGAGACTTCCTTCTTTACAATCTTATATTTGTATTCTGCCTGTGGCTCTCCTTTGCATCTATGAGAGAAACAAAAGTGAGCAAATTCTGGAGTAGGAGAAGCACAAGAGAGAAAGGAGTTGGTAACTGTGGCTTTGTTCATTTTAACCAACATTACTAAATGTCTATTACATGCAAACCCACTACTGGGAAATAGAACAAGATAGACTCCTGATTTACAAAGACAAGCATATAGATGGATAGATAGATAGATAGATAGAGATAGATAGATAGATAGATAGATAGATAGATAGATAGATAGATATCATAAGGATAGATGTTGTATGTCATAATGTGAATCTTTTACCATATTGTAGGAACATTTTTTTATAATTTAATGTTATAATGTACTTGTTCAAAATTTTTATAAAAGCTTATAAAATATGTACAATTTTTATACAAGGAGAGTTCTGAAAATATTATATATAGTCATAATGAACTATGTGGATTCAGAAGACCTGAAGTCACATAATCTGAAATCTTAATAGCTTTGTGAACTTCATAAATTACTGATCTTCTGTCTCTAGCTTCTCTTCTATAAGAGAGAGAAAATAATATAGTGTCTTTTTCCTAGCCTGTTGAGAAGATTAAAATGAAATTCTAATATGTATAGATATTTGATGTACTAGTGTTTATTAAGCAGTTATTATAGTAGTATAACTTTAACAGTAATACTGGCATGCAGTCCCCTGACCCCCTCATAAGAAAAACTTTATTTTTTTAATTAAGTTTATTGGTACATTTTAGGTATATAGTAAAGTTACATTCATTATTGGGATCTTGTACCTTTATATGACAGTTCTTGGTTCTCAGTTTTCCCCCTTTGTCCCTGCCCTCCCTTCACTCCCTCCTCCCCTCAGAAAATCTTATTTTTGCACAAGTTGGTTAAATCTCAGTCTGTAAAAAGAATAAGTTAGTGCAAAGGAATAAAGAGCCAGAAAAGAAACAGGACAAAAAGTAATGAGTGTCCATTTGGAAAAAGCATTGCTTAAGTAAAGTCTTAGTCTGTGCTACTATAACAATACCTGAAATGAGGCATTTTATCATGTGTTAGCTCACGTTTGGGGAGGACAGGAAGTCTAGAATCAAGCTGGCAGCACTTGGCAAGGGCCTTGTCATTACATTGTGAAAACAGAGCAAGAGAGAAGCAAGAGGGGCTGCACTCCCCCTTTTATAAGGGCCTAATTTCTACCTTTGAAAGTGTGGATTTTTAGCTATGAGGGTGGAGCCCCTCTGGCCTGGTCACTTTTATAAAGGTCCGATACCTTAGTACAATTACAGTGGAGATTTAATGTCAGTGTGAGTTTCGGAGGAGCAGACATTCACATCATGGCTAACATGGGGCAATTACAAGTCCTTTACTGAAAAATACTAAAATAGATAACATGGAGGTAAACAGTGACAGTTCAGTTATATTTGCAGTATAAAATAATGGGACATATTTGGTATACATAGATTTCTTTTCAATACTCAGCTCATTTGTGCTTAGCTGTATGAAGCTTTATAAAGTGATATGGAGTTTTCCTATAATATGACAGCTATAGTCAAGTTCATTTATAGAGCAAAAGCTATTTTGATCATAACTGTAAACTTTGTTGTTATGGGCAGCTAAGCTTTTATTGTTTTGTTTTGTATTTTGGTACTGGGGATTGAACTTGGGTCCTTGCACTTGCAAGGCAGGCCACCAAACCGCTAAGCTAAATCCCCTGCCCGGCCCGCTAAGCTTTTATTCTTACATCTTTCTTTACCTTATGTCAACTCTTACCTAATATATGTTATATGAGTTCAGTTTCATTCTCATTGTTAGGAAAAACTGAACTGCATTGCAAGTTAAAAGTTCAAAAATATCTTGGCCTTACAATTTAAGACATTTTAAAATAAATCCTGAGCAGTAAAACTTCATTCACACACACACACACACACACACACACACACACACATATATATATGTATATATATATGTGTGCGCGCGTGTACATTCATTGGGACATATTTGGTATACATAGATTTCTTTTCAATACTCAGCTCATTTGTGCTTAGCTGTATGAAGCTTTATAAAGTGATATGGAGTTTTCCTATAATATGACAGCTATAGTCAAGTTCATTTATAGAGCAAAAGCTATTTTGATCATAACTGTAAACTTTGTTGTTATGGGCAGCTAAGCTTTTATTGTTTTGTTTTGTATTTTGGTACTGGGGATTGAACTTGGGTCCTTGCACTTGCAAGGCAGGCCACCAAACCGCTAAGCTAAATCCCCTGCCCGGCCCGCTAAGCTTTTATTCTTACATCTTTCTTTACCTTATGTCAACTCTTACCTAATATATGTTATATGAGTTCAGTTTCATTCTCATTGTTAGGAAAAACTGAACTGCATTGCAAGTTAAAAGTTCAAAAATATCTTGGCCTTACAATTTAAGACATTTTAAAATAAATCCTGAGCAGTAAAACTTCATTCACACACACACACACACACACACACACACACACACACATTTATATATGTATATATATATGTGTGTGCGCGTATGTACATTCATATGTATATTCATGTATATATGTAGTTGTACCTTAATGCATATTAATTTGTTTTTAGAAATAATAAAGATCATTTATACTGTAGTATTTTATTTAGTATACTTTTCAAATGCAGATTACCTATAGAATATATTTTCACATATCTATTTTTAATATTTGATTTAATAGAGAAGTTAAACAGAGAAGAACTTTATTGAGGATTTCCTTGTAGTCTCTGGTAATTTCAAGTTGTGTAAAATAAAAAATACTTGTTTCTTTTGCTTAATTATCATTACAAGAATGGAAAGTCTTTACATTTGTGATAGGAACTTCAGTTTACTTTTAATGTTCCTGAAATTGATTCCAGAATATGCTTATTTTATTGCCAAATTGTAACTGTTTAAGAAATGAAGTAATCCATGTACTGTTAAATCATAATATTTCTGTTTTGTACTTTGAGTCATTTATTTTTTTAATTACAAAAGTCTAGAAAGGAAAAGAGTTAAATAGCTGCTAAAATATAGAAGATGCGACTGAGAATTTGAATGATGTATGTTAAATGTGAGAACTCAGACAACTGAGGCAAATTCATCAGTTTACTTTCATTCATTAATTCATTAAGATGAATAAAAATAAATTAAGTGGAAAGCCATTTGGATTTTTCTCATGCTATCTCCAAAGTTCATGCAAAAAAGAGTACTGTGTTCAATCAGTGATAAATAAAGAATATTGGAATGGTGTTACATTAGCATTTCTTTGTTATATGTTTAACAGCTTAACATGAACTCCGCTCCTACGTTCATGCATTTTCCTCCGAAAGGCAGACCCAAGAGAGCTGATACCTTTGACCTTCAAAGAATTGGATTTGCAGCTGAACAGCTAGCAAAATGGATTGCCGACAGAACGGATGTTCATGTATGCTTTTCCTTCCCCATAGTTTTTAATAGTAGGCTAATTAGCTTGATGTGTATTAGCATTGTAACAAGGCTTACAGGATTTAAAATATTCTCTGTGGCTATTTCTCTTGACGTAGAGAAAACTGATAGCTGTAATTGAGGATTGGAATGATGATGGATCAGGTGAATTCAGATGGGTTTTAGAAGAGTGGTTTGTTGATGTTTTAAAAACCATTAAAAAGTACATGAGTTGGTCACGCAGTAATTTCAAGGCATGAGAAATATGTTGAACATGGTTTGGTGATATTTATAATGATAGAAATTCTAATTGAAAAACAAGGCCAAAATTTATATCTGTTTTGTATATAAATAGAAAAAGGATTTAGAAGCCAGGTGTGATGTTTCACATCTGCAGCCTCATCTGTTTGGACTGCTGAGGTGGGAGGATTGGATTCAGACTGCAGTACCACAAAACAAAAACAAAGAACAAAAGAAACAAAGAGTGTAGAGCTGTATGGAAAAATACTTATGACATGTCTCTATTTTACATAATTTAACAGTTCCACTTCTAGGAATAGAACATAAGAATGTAATCAAGAATGATTACATTCTTAGCTATAGATATTTTTAACAGCATTCATTTTATTCTTTTTTGGTGCTAGGTATCGAACTTGGGACCTTGTACTTGCAAGGCAGGTGGCAGCACCACTAGCTAAATCCATGGCCCAACAGCATTCTTTTTAATGGAAAAAAATTTGAATTTCTAAGATAAGGATCTTAATAACTGTACTATGGCATAGCCAAAAAGTAATTTTCAGGAATATTTCATATAGAATGATGTTCAAAGTAAGAAAGTAGTTTTCTTTAGAAAATTAATAATAGAACACCTATTATAACAAAGTAACATAGTGTTACTATTATATTGTGTATCATACTATCATTATACTGTATTATCTAAAATTTTGTTTTATATCATAAATATGAATATAGGTTGAAATAAACCATTTATTATAAAAGGAAATGAACCAAAGTGTTAGTGGTAATATCCACATGACAGGTTTATGGCAGTTTTTCCTCCTGCTATCTTCAGTATTTTTTAAACATTTAAGTCCATTTATGCTAGAGGTAATACGGAAACATGAATTTTTACCAGAAGGGGCAATCACATTTATTCTGAGTCGGGTTGTTGTGACTCTTGTACTGTCATTCATTTATATGGTCTCATCACCTGTGTCATAGATTTTAGTGACATTTTGGCAACTAAGCTTATTTTGTAAATCAGGTTATTTTTTGGGAAATATTTCAGCAAACCACTTACTATGCAGTATATCATTTAGTTGGTACATTGTGGGTAACATTGACAGTACTAGTAATTCTTTAGAAGAAATACTAAATTTTAAGTGAAAATGATTTTAACTTGTACCTATCACATTTATGTATCTTGCCAATATATTTACACACTAAAATTATTTGGAAATAATTTCATATTTATAAAAATTTTGAAAATGAAAATAGTACAAATAATACCAACATATATCCCTACTCAAGATTACCTATTGTTAATATTGTCAATATTTTCCATTATGACCTTTGTGAATCTTTTTGTGTCTCTTTTCCATCCCTGTGTCTTTATTTTTCTACATACAGTTTTTTTTTCCTGAAAAAATAATTAGAATGAATCGTATTTCACAGAAATATATAGGCACAGTATAGTTATCAACTTCATGTGTTTATACTTGTATAATATTTTTATTTGAGCTCTTAGTATACATACTAGAGTGTTGCCAGCTGGACTAACATCCCTTTATAACATTTTCCCATCTTTCAAGACGAAGTCTAGAGTTAGTTTCATTTCAATGTTGTTCTTTTAAATCTCTAACCCAGGATAGTTCTCTACCCTGTGTCCTTTAGATTTTGATGTGTAAGAACATAGCCCTGTCCCACTTTTTAAATAGAATACTTACTTGATTTGCCTGATGTTTACTCATGATTGGATTGTGCTTATGTGTTCTCAACTCCTTGGTAAAAATAATTTTGGACATTGGATCAAAATGTTTTCCATTCCTTCATTTATGTGTAATTACTTATCTTTCTTTTTATATACTTTCAATTATTTGTCTGTAAAGACACCTTATGATCATTCAAAATTCTGTTTCTCACCCAACATTTACTCTTGGATATAGCATTCATTAATGATTCCTGCTTGATTCAGTTTGCACTACACTGCCGCAAAATGATGATTCCAGTTTCAGCTCTCCATATTTTTTGTTGGCCTTCAGTATTCTACTGTAATCAGGAGTTCGATTCCTTTTATCTGTGTATTTCTGTCTTTCAGTGATCTGTTTATCATTGGTATAGGATTATGAATTGCATTATGTATTGCAAAGATTTTTTAAAATATTTAGATATTAATGACATTTTGATATTTAAAAACAATTTTCTGGCAACGAAGAGCTTGCCCCTCCTGATGCAGCGAGCTTTTACAGATAACAAAGTTGCCAGGCAGGAGTCTTATCTGTGATAAGAAAACTAATCAATCCAGAGGCATACCTTCTTCTGTCTCTCACCACTTTTAAACCCTAAGGAACAGTACCTTTCTGCTTTAATAATCCCAGGGTGAGGACCAGACAATTAGAGGACACTCTTACAGGCCAAATTCCACCAAAATTATCCAAACTATTCACTGTTAAACTAGTCACTGTCCTGCCCTGTCTCACAAAACTTCAACAACAGCAGAGGCCTAACCTTCTTTTGGCTCCAGTCTTCTGCCACTTGACTGCTTTGGTGTCTTTCTTATGTGGCCTTTCATGATGTATAGTGTTTTTTATCTTTGTGACTATAATCACTTTGTTTTTTCCTGAACTTCTGTTATTCCTGACTGATTGTGTCACAAAATAATACATAAGGTACTGTTCATACCCTTGTGGTTTATAATCTATTTCTTTTCTTAATTTGGTGCTAAAATTATTCTAGGTTTGATTAATGGAAGCCTCTTCATTCCAGTGTCTGTGTTTTTGTGACATGCTTCCAATACTTTTAAATGCTTTCTAATTTTCTGACATAAAAATTTGTTCCAGGCTCTTACTGTATCTGCCTCCACAGCTGTTCCACCCTGCTGTCAGTCATCTCTTTCAAGGGCCCTGGTTCCTATAAGTAGGAAACGTTATTAGAACTAAGAGATGTATGTACTCTTGAAGTTACAAATTCACATCAGTTGTATTTATTTCTAAAGAAGAGACTTTACAACATCAAGAAAGTGAATAGATATACCACACATGGGGAAAATAATTAGCAGATCAGTTTTCTGATGAGATTTATACCCAGTTATATGTCTCTTATATTTAATAGTAAAAAGACAAAACCCAATTTAAAATGGGCAAAGGAGCAGAATAAACATTTCTGTAAGTGGGCTGGGGATTTAACTAAATGACACCACACCTGCTTTTCAAGTGCTAGGTTGTGAGTTTGATCGTTGGTACTAAACAAGCAAACAAACATCTGTGAGGAGGGCCAGAGATGTAGCTCAGTGGTTTTGCCACCTGCCTTGCAAGCACAAGGTTCCGAGTTCGATCCCTGGTACCAAAAAAAAAAAAGCATCTGTGAGGAAAAAAATAGAAATAGCCATTAAGAATATGCTTAATATTGTCAGTCACCAGGGAAAAACAAAACTATAGGGAGGTACCACTTCATATGTAGTAAAATAGCTGCATACAATGTCAGAAAATAAGCATTGGTGAGGAAATGGAGAAATTGGAAGCCTCATACACTGCCAAGGAGATGTCAGATGGTACAGACACTGTGGTAACAGCCTAAAACTTCCTCCAGCTGTTAAACATTGAGTTTTCCATATGAAATTCCACTCATTAGTTTCCACTCATTAGTTCCACTCATTAGTTTCCAGGCAAGAAATATAAAAACATGTCTGCGACAAAAGGTTGCACAAGAATGTTTATAGCAGTATTATTCATAGTAGCCATAAGTGAAAACAACTCAAATGTCTGTCAGATAATGAATGGAGAAACAAAATGTGGTACACAGGGGAATATTACTGAGTTATGAAAGTGAATGGAGTACAGTACTGCTGTGTGTACCTACATGGATAAACCTTGAAAACATTAGACTAAGTGAAACAAGCCAGTTACAGCAGACATACATTACATGGAAGCCTAGAATTCGAGATGTCTATAAAGACAGAGAGTGGATTAGTACTTACCTAAGGCTACAGGTTGTGGGGAATAAGTGGATAACTAGAGGTGATGAAAATGTTCTAGTGATTCTGGTGATGGCTGTAATATTTATGAGCATAATAAAAACCATTGAATTTTGTGCACACTGAGGGCTGAATTTTATGGCATGTGGGTTATGTTTTAGTAAACATTTTTTAAAAGTCCCAAATTGAAGTGATAGAAATTCACCCCCATCTCATTGCTGCCAGTCACTAGGTGATCCAGGGGTGAAGCACAGCGTCTCAGGTAGAATTACATGTACACAGTTTACATATACTTGAGTGTATTCAGCCAAACTGAAGAGAAAATCCTTTTACACACCCATCATGCTTTTAAATCATATATTTTTTGCCTCTTAAAAAAGAGTGTTAATGTCAGGTGAAAAAGTAGAGTGACATGTTTCTGAATTGTTTGTGTCGAAGATTGGAGGACTAGAATATGGTCAAGAGAAAAATTTAGTATTTCTCCTCTGTTTTAAAAGTTTTCCTTGCATTTTTGCAGATCCGGGTTTTCAGACCACCCAACTACTCTGGCACCATCGCTTTGGCCTTGTTAGTGTCACTTGTTGGTGGTCTGCTCTACTTGAGAAGGAACAACTTGGAATTCATCTACAACAAAACTGGTTGGGCCATGGTATCTCTGGTATGTTGTCACATTTTTTCCCTGTATTTTGTTGCATTATAGAATAACATTTAAAATTAACAAAATAAAGACTATTACTGTAATAGAATTCCAGTTTCAATGAGAAGACTTAGCTTTTTAGGACTGAAATAATACAGTATAGATTCACTGTAAATTTATGCTATCTTCCTACTCCTTTTCACTTTTGAAGTCTAATGTCCTTTACTATTTGACTAATTACAAATGCTAAATAAATACAAGATTAAATAGGAAACATGGTAGGAATTAATAAGAATTAGTAGTTTGAAATGATTTGCAAATAGAATTTCTAAATGTACTTATTCACTATTTGTTTTTCAACAACTATTCCTTTGCCTCTTCTATGTGCCTGATACCTGTTAGGCTCTGAGAATATGGCTATAATGAATTGATTATGGGGATACAAACTATATGCCACACACTGTGAGGGAAGTAAGCAAAGCAGGAAGAGCTATAGAACAAAGTAAAGACACCCGAGTGTGTCAGAGCTGGATTTTGAAGAGTAAATGAAATTTTAAAGTTGTTCAGACCAACTAATCAACATATGTAAAGCCTCATATATTCAAAGAATTATAGCTTGGTGTGGCTACAGCACTGGTAGCAAAGCAAGGAGGAAGGAGTAAGAGATGACCCTGGAGAGGGAAGAAGGCAACTCTGCAGAGCTAGATTATGAATTTTTATCCTACTGCCAGTGGAAGCCACTAAAATATTCCATGGAAAATGATATGCCTGAATTTATGTGATTATTGATCATTGCTAGCAGGGGGCACTTGATTGAAAGGGGTGAGTTTGCCAGAGGAAATACTGGTTAAGAGGATGTTAGAAGAATATAGCTAAACATAATCCTGTTTCAGTTTCAACAAAGGTAATGTTCTTCTTTTGATTATGAACATGCCATATTTGTAAATTAAGATTATTGGTACTTTTTAGGTATACATTACAGTTGCATTTGTCATTGGGATCTTGTACCTTTACATGACATCCTGGTTCTTATTTTTTCCCATTCCCAGACTTCCCTTCCCCCTCTCCACCCTTTCCTGTTTACAAAGACATTATTTCCATGTTTTTCCTTTTATCATATTTTTTCTTTTCCCTTTTTACCTGTCCCCTACTCTTCTGACTTCTGTATTCTTTTAGACCTTTCCTTCCTATTATGTAGTATCAGTAATACATTTTGATCCTTCTTACTCTTTTAGTTTTTCACACCACAAACTATTTGGTATTTACACCTGCATGACTTATTAATTTCACTTAAGATATGGCCTCAATGTGTGTCCACTTAGCTATCAGTATCTCTAGTTTCTTGTTCTTTATGGCTGAGTAGTACTCTATTTCATTAAAAAACCACATATTCTTTATCCAGTCTCCAGTTGATGGGCAATTAGGCTGTTGCCACGTTTTAGCTATTGCAAACTGTGCTGCTATAGGGCCAGGGATTTAGCTCACCATTTCCACTGCTTGAGTTTGATCTCCCATATAAAAGAAAAAGAAAAAAAAAACCAAATTGCCACTCTCAGCATGGGTGAACATATATCACTTTATCATGATTTTTAAAATTCTTTTGGGAAGATCCACACAGCAGAGGAATACCTGGGTCAAATGGGACTTCTGATCCTAGTTGTTTAAGGTATGTCCATATTGATTTCCACAGTGGTTGTACCAGACTGCACTCCCACCAACAATGAAAAAGGGTTCCTTTTTTCCCCCACATCCCCGCCAGCAGTTGTTATTGGTTGATTTTTTGATAGCAACTATTCTTACTGGGGTGAGGTGGCATCTCAGTTTTGTTTTTGTCTGTATCTCTCCAATGAACCATGATGTTGAACATTTTTTCATTTTTTTTGATGCTTTTACTTGTTTGTCAGAGAAATATCTGTTCATTTCAGATGCCCATTTTTGAATTGGGTCTTTGTATTTGGGGGGGGGTCTGATTTTTTTTTAGTTCTTTATATATTCCAGATAGTAGATCTTTGTCTGAGGAACAGCTGGTAAAACATTTTTTCCACATTATAGGTTGTCTCTTAGCTGTCGTTGGTGGTTTCTCTTGCAATGCAGAAGCTTTTTAATAAAATGAGATCCCAGTTGTTGATTTTTTTTGATAGTTCCTGTGCTACTGAGGATTTGTTCATAAAGTCTTTTCCTACTCCATTATCTTCAAGAGTTTTACCTAACTTGTCTTCCAGCAAATTTATTGTTTGTTTTAATATTTATATATTTAATCAATTTGATTTTAGTTAAGCGCATGGTGAAAGATAGGGGTCTAGTTTTAATCTGTGGCATGTCGAAATCCAGTTTTTCTGACACGAGTTATTAAATAGGCTATCTTTCCTCCAATAAGAATAGTGGGCTCCTTTGTCAAAGGTGAGGTAGCTGAGTATTTCAGGAGTTGTTGCTGCATCATTTAATCTATTCCACTATTCTTCAGGTCTGTTTCTTTGCCAATACCATGCTGTTTTTATCACAGTGTCTTTGTAGTATAGTTCCAAGTTGAGGATTGTGATACCCTCTGCTACTTCTGTGTTGCCTAAAATTGCTTTTGCTATTCTAGCTCTCTTCTGGTTCCAAATGAATTTTTAGATTGTTTTCTCTACTTAAACTGTTGGAATTTCAATCAGGATTGCTTTGAATCTGTATAGCAGTTTTGGAAGTATGGCCGTTTTCACTATATTGGTTTTTCCTACCCAGCGAAAAGGGATGTCTTCATTTTGTTATATCCTCTTCAGTCTTTTTTTTCAGAGTGTTGTAATTCTCAGTGTAGAGATCTTTTGCTTCCTTTATTAGATTGATTCCTAGATATTTCAGTTTTTTGGATGCTATTGTGAAAGGGATTATTTCCCTAATTTCAGTCTTGGTGAGTCTGTTATTGTGTGCAAGAAGGCTATTGATTTTTGAGTTTTGACCTTGTATCCAACTACTGTACAGAATCTGTCAATCAAGTCTAGAAGTCTTTTGGCAGAGTTTTTTGGGTCTTCTATACTAAGTATCATATCATTAGAAAATAATGGCAGTTTAACTTTTTTTCTTTTCTGTCTTTATCACTTTTATTTCTTTCTCTTGTCTAATTGCTGTGGCTAGTGTTTCTAGAACTGTATTGGACGGGAGTGGTGATAAGTGGAAATCCTTGTCTTGTTCCTGATTTTAGCATGAAGGCTTTCAGTTTTTGACCATTTAGTATGATGTTGGCTGTTAGTTTTTCATACATAGCCTTTATCAAGTTGAGATAAAGACCATCTATTTCAGTTTTCTGCAATGTTTTTTTTCACGAATGGGTGTTGAATTTGGTAGAATGCTTTTTCTGCATCAGTTAAGATGTTTATATGCTTTCTGTCCTTGACACTTTTGATACAGTGTATTACATTTATTGATTTATGTATGCTGAATCATCCTTGCATCTCTAGGATAAATCTGGCTTGGTCAGGGTGTATAATCTTCTTAATGACCCTTTGTATTCTGTTTGCCAGTATCTTATTGAGGATTTTTGCATCTATGCTCACTAGGGAGATTGGCCTGTATTTCTCTTTTTTGTTGGGTCTATCCCTGGTTTTGGAATCAAAGTTAATACTTGCTTCCAGGAATTAATTTGCAAGTATTGCTTCCCTTTCAATTTCTTTAATTACATAATAAAAGTGAAATATGAGCATGTGATTAAAACCTTCAGAAATATTTCTGCTATTTAATAGTTATATTAATTACAATATCTATTTCACACAGTATTTTAAGTAGTAGCACAAATTTTATAATATGCAGATAGACTTAAAGTATTACTAGAAAGTGGTTTTCCTGGTGTATACTGAAGCAATATTATTTGAACTTAATTATTTTGAAAGACATGACTTAAAGCTGAAAACTGTAACATTGTGGTAAGAACCTGAGAGGCTTACATGTGTGTGTTTTTGTGTATGACAAGTATAGATTGATCTGTGCTCAGTGTACCTGTGTTTTACCTGCAGTCATTTGGTTCAGATTTAAGTTTAGTATATTGAGTTTAAGCTCCTGTGAACAGCTGAAATAAGCAAAGTGATATAATATCCTAGGTAATCAATAGAAATATTAAAAATGTATATAATATTAATACAGGAAAAGAGAACAGAGGAATAATAATGAATGAAAAACACAATAGAAAAATTTTTAAATTTCAGACCTAAATAAATCATCAGTATACTTAGGTGACTTAAATTAGACTTAATCCTCTAATCAAAAGGAAGAGATTATCAACGTGGATAAAATGAAGTAGCATACTGGGTGCTGTCACAGGAGAAGCATTTTAGAGACAGTTACTGAAAAAAAATGAGTAGAGAAATGCATACCCAAAAGACCTAAAGAAATAAAGAGATATGCTGTATTCAGTATTCCAGGGCTTAATGTGGTATGTCACTTTTCCTTCACATTTACCTGTGGATTTCAAGATGTGGCAATCAAAATCCAGACAGATCTTTTAGAATAAAGCAATAGGCCATTTCTAAAGTTAATATGTAAAGGCATAGATGACCTGGAATAGCCAAATAACTTTTGAAACCAAAAGAAAATTTGAGGACTTACATTACCTGATTTGAAGACTTGTTATAAAGGTATAATAGTTGAAATAGTATAGAAATGAGCTAAAGATAGACACTTAGATCATTGGAATGGAATACAGAGTCCAGAATAACATATATACATATGTGAGCAATTCAGTTTTGTTGTTGTTGTTGTTGTTGTTTGGGGGGGGTGAGACAGGGTCTCATTATGTAATGAGACTGAACTGGAACTCCCTATGTAGCCAAGGTTGGTCTTGAACCACAGTGATCCTCCTGCCTCAGCCTCCTGTGTGCTGGGATTACAGGGGTGAGCCACCACGCCTGGTCCAGTTCAATTTTTAACAAAGGTAGCAAGTAATCCTGTGAGTAAAATACAGTCTGGAAAAAATGATGCTGAAAAATACCCATATACAAGTAGTGAAGCACTTATCTCACATTGCAGATAAAAAGTACTCAAAATGAGTT